CTGAAATTCACTCTCCCTCTCTCTTGATGAGTTTTTGTTTACTTCTTCCATATTCCTGCCGCCACTCACTCGAGGTGAGGCTGGCTAAACTCGCAGGAAAAGAGTGTATTAAAACCCCCAGTGAGTTTGAGGAGTTTCAGCAACAATCAATTCGAAACTAACGATTTTAAATTGGCTCACTACTTGACTAGCCTATTGGTCCCAAGCAAATCGATTAACGTACCCCATTCTAGTATAAATTCCAGTACTACACTATGTTTGTTTTGATTCGCTATGAAAGTTTGACAGATAAAATGAGGGGTTCGTGGATTTTCCTATGTTACGAGGGGTGTATCGATTTGCTTGGGACCAAAGATAGTACCAGAGCTGAGCCAAAAATTTGAGCTCGTTTCTTTGGGATCTTCTGGTCTTAGAGTTACCTCTATGGTTTCAGCAAGCCTGGTTATATCTGACAGACAAGAAGTTAAATTTTGACAACCGTGTCTGAGTTCTGCTTGAAAGTTGATCGATCGATGACGCAGGGACTTTCGAACATAGAAAATAACTTTCAAACTGTTGCTTTTAACCGAGGACGATGACTATATCTTCGACACAGGAAAGATTTCGTTTTGCTGTGCTGAGCTGCACGCATGCTGAGTAGATACATGGTAAATGAAGATTTTAAAGATTTCCTGCACAAAGATGAAGGACGATGCAAGTAGATGCGTGAAATGAAAGTAGATTTTTCGTAGATTGATTTGCTAGCATGAAATTTTTTGAGCATCTAGGATTGAGATTTAGATGTGTTGCACCCCGAGGGCGGTGACACATCTAAATCTCAATTGCTCAAAAAATCTAAATCTAGATGCTCAAAAAATCTCGCACTAGCGAATCAATCTTCTAAAAATATTCTTTCGTTTCTTGCATCTACTTGCATTGCGCATCATCTTTTTACAGGAAATCTTCAGAATCGTCATCAATCTTCTTTCTATCTACTCAGCGTGCGCGCAACTAACCACAGCAAAACACAATCTTTCCTATCTTTCGTAGATAGAGTCGTCCCCCTCGTGGTAGAAGGATAATGACATATTGCTTGCCTGCTTTGTAGCAATACATATGGTTGAGACGAGTGTACCCCATTAGGCATAAATACGATAGGCATACGGACGTTAGGCATACGGACGTTAGGCATAAAGTCATTAGGCATAATGGACGTTAGGCATAATATACGTTAGGCATAATGGACGTTAGGCATAAAATACCTTGCTGCTGTGCAACTCTAGAAACCTGCTTAACCTGTAAACCTGTAAACAATGCTTAAATTAGGCTTAGCGTTGAATAAAAAATGATACAAGTTAAACAAACATAGTTTATTTGATAAGCACAGTTTGGAATCCATTATTTATCATATCATAAGTTACTTAGATCCATGATTTGTAGCGATAGTGGTTAAGTAATCTTACAATGAAAACTCAGCTTAGTTTTGAACTATATCTTGAAATCAATCGCATCTAGAAATAAAAAAATCACACATTTGTTGTAATATATTCTTACACACATATTGCAAAAGTCAAAGAAGGTTTTCCTCAAAGAACAGCTCATGAAATAAAGAATGGTGAATTCTGTGATTTTTCATTCAATAACAAAAAAACAGCTAAGGTTGAATAAAATATGATGCCAAAGAACAGTTCATGAAATCAAGAATGGTTAATTCTGTGGTTTTTCATTCAATAACAAAAAAACATACCTGCTGCTTCCAGGATTCCTTGCCATACATTTCGATACAACGATTCTGATTTTGTTGTCATCAGAATGAAAACTAGCGGAACCGTCTGCTGATGTGAGGGAGCGATTCTTCCATGAACAGTGACGAGTTGCCGAAACAAACAAGGAACTGTGGCAAACGTACCATCTGTAACCCAATACTTTGCCTGTCCAAGACGTCGTTCATGAGTTCCAAAAATTAAGGATCTTTCATTATTGTCACCAAAGTCAGCAATCAATAGACGGTCCCCATTATCATCCTTCTGGAATTCATCGGGTAAATTATGCCTAACGTCCATTATGCCTAACGCCATTTATGCCCAACGTCCATTATGCCTATCGTACATTATGCCTAACGTCCGTATGCCTAACGTACGTATGCCTAACGTCCGTATGCCTAACGACCGTATGCCTAACGTCGTGCACCCGGTTGAGACATAGCTTGATCCGAATCGAGAAAAAACAAAACGTGTATCATCTTCGGCTTCACTTCGTGAAGCAGCTTGCCAACAATTTGGTCGTTTCCTTCTACCAGCTCGTGCGAGCTGTGTTGAAAGAGCTGTTTGTCATGAAAAAATAAGAAGATGATTACATCATTATTGCTTTCCATATCTGACAAAGCGTTATCGTTCGGCTCGTTGGTCGCTTGTCATTTTGTCATTTGGAGCGAGGGGGTGACACATCTAAATGTCAATTCTAGATGCTCAGCAAATCTCACACTAGCGAAAAAATTTCTTTAATTTCTCGCATCTACTTCAGAATCGTCATCAATCCCTGGTGCTGCGAAAAGCAGTACGAAGCACCCTAGCAGCACACATGTCACTGAACAATGTTGGTTACTTGTGTGCCACTTATTTCAGTCACAATCAAGTTGCAGCAGCTTATTTCGATCGAAGTGTGCTGCTCGGGCACCCCATTGTTGTCACGGTGCCGATATTTACGTTAGATAAGCGTTTCGACAAATTGAAGTTTGAATCTTTGTTTAAAAACGCAGATATGCCTACACCCAGCCGGGAAATCTGTAATGTGGTCGACGGAAAGTTTTGTAAATAGTTTTTTTTTAATTTTTATGCTTGCTAAATTTTCGAACAAAGTTTTTTTTTCAAAATGCACTATGGCTAGAAAATCATCTCGTGAAGGTTATATACGAAAATATTCATTCAAGAAAAACTTACTTGCACGCTACAAGCAGTCCATTGTAAGTCCTGCCATTACATTTATTGTAAGAAACATATACATAGGATGTAAGAAATTCATCCATGGATTTGATGTTCAAGCCATTTGTTTTGCGTGTATGTATTGAAATAATCATTCTTGAATTTGTTTTCTCATTTATCTTCATTGTTAGTGTTTTTTTCAAGATTAATATTTTTCTTATTCAAACATATATGCTGATTGGAGATGCTTAACGTCATTTTATACGTTTATACTATCGTTTATACGTTTGACTTATATTTGACGTTGAGCATCTACAACTATGTAAATCGTTAAATTCACACATGAAGTAATAAAAACATGATTAGTTAAAGTATATATGCTGAGCTCTGACGTGGACGAACAACTACCTTACCAATCAGGCTAAAGCCTTGATGTCCTCTGCTGTCCTTGAAAGTCGTCCCCACTCTACTCGATCCATGGCCATACGACGCCAGCCTCGTAGTCTGCCAAGGGGCCGTAGGTCGCCTTCTACCTGGTTGTTCCACGTTGCGCCTTCGAGAACCATTTTCGCTGTGTCATCGTCCGGCATTCTTACGACGTGCCCAGCTCACCGTAGTAGCCCAATTTTTGCAGTGTGAACGATGGATGGTTCGCCCAGCAGCTGGTGCAATTCGTGGTTCATTCGCCTCCTTCACGTTCCGTCTTTCACAGTGTTGGAAAAATATCAAAAAATCAATTCTCACCAAGGAACAAGATCACGCTTGATTTTCGTAGACAAAAATCAACAAGCAAAAAACTTCGGTTGATATTGCAAGCTGTGATATCGTGGCTCGAAATATCAAGCTAACAAAACTCACCAGCTGCAAATCTCACCAAACTGTGGTGAGATTGAGTTTCAAGATTTTTGCTTTACATCCGAACGCAACCGAAAGTTCCATAACGACTGAAAGCAGTCGCATCGTGTGTGCCATCGATGAAGAGAAAAAAGAGATAGCATATTATACCTTCTCTTTCCAAGAAAATGAGGTGCAACGAAATCATTTTTGCGTCGATTCAACTCTCAGCTTCAACTTTACACGTTGTGAATAGTCTCGCAATATCATAGGAGCTTGTAATCATGCATGATATTGAGATCGGACGAGAGCAGAAAAATATCAATTCTCTAATGATTATGCCATCACTGGTCTTCCATATGCACTCCCCCGTAGACAGTCCGTCAGAACCCCTCCCACTCGAAAACACTATTGGTCCTCCAAGAGCATAGTTCAGGTCTTATCAGCGTTTTGTAGACAGTCAACTTCGTGGTGAAGTGAATTACACCGGAGTCCCAAGTACGTGGACGAACAAACAAGGAATGAAAAATCTTAATAATTGTGCTAACATTTGCGTTTCAATTACACCTTTACTGAAATGTTGTGTTTGTCCGATCAATTTTGCACCGCAGTGTTGTTGTCCCTACCTTAGGACGGGTGAACTCAGTTTACTGCTGGTACACTAGTTATATACAGTGCCTTCCCGTTTTTGGCAACACGACCTCATCAACTAATTATTTCTTCAAATTTGGGCTAGCACTTTCTGGAGATTAATTCATGGCATTTCAAGTAGATAGGATCCCCAAAGAGGGGTATAGTGATAGGTATCAGAAATGAAATTAAGCGTTGGATGAATTTTCTAGAAAGTGAAGAAGATAAAAATCATGAGTTTCCAAAAACGGCACTGCATTCTCAAAGTACATGCAACGCACATACCCGACCAACTGCGGCTTGATTTCAATTGCCTTCTCCAAGCAGCATGGTATTATAGATGCAAATGACCTCAAGGTTAAAGTGTCGATAAAAAAAATCAACGTGGTATGTAGCAGCCATTACGTAAATTTTTATTCGTGAATTAGAAATTAGAGAAGATGTCTAATTGAAGAAAAACTGTCCATTTATTGTGAATTTACCGATAATGAGCTGAAATGGACGCTTCTAAATGTATTGTTACTTACCCTAGCAGCAAATTTGTCACTGAACAGTTGTAGTTACTTGTATGTAACTTACTTCAGTTAGATTCAGGTTACAGCAACTTATCATGATGGTTGTGTTAGGCTTGGGTTGTACAGTTCCTCATAAATGTATATCTCCTGATGTAACCTTATTATGAATGAATAATATATTTTTCTATTGCTTCTATCTTAGGATTACCTAAGAGAAAGGATTAACAGGTAATATAAATAACTGTATCACGCCACTGAGAAGTGAACACTGCGTTGTAAAACTATCCTACGATTTCCTCTTAGCGTTTCCTCGACTCTTCGTAACGTATGCCTTGACGTAGAAATCCAAAAACATCCCTAGAATGAACACAGCCTGCAGGAAGCCAACCCAGTGCCAAATACGAGGAAAGCCGCATTCCATCCCGTACAAAGCCGGTCGCCCGAAATGGATTCCCATGTGGACGAACTGCACCAACTGTAACCTGGTCAAATATTTCTTCCACGAGTTCTGACTGCCATACGAAGCCAAATAGTAGTAGAAGTACATCACAGCGTGGACCAGCGTGTTCCAGACTCCTAGCATAATGACGTGCCCTCCTAGCAAGAGATGGACAAAGTGAGTTCAGTGAATGTCTAAAACAGCACGTTTCAATCGATATCATCTACGCATACCAGGGACAAATATCACAGCCAGATAACTCAACGAAACCATTATAGCGTGATGATACACGTGCAAGAACGACACGTGCGATTGCTTCTTACGTAGAACGAAAAATACTGTATCTGCTAGATCCAGAACCTTCAACAGGAAGTATCCGTACGATAGGTATAGCTCTTCATAACCTTCTCTCGTTTCGGTGTAATTCACAGGTTGGCATGCGTACGAAAAGTTTTTCCTTTGTAGTAAAATATATGACTGCAAATAGCATCGAAAGTTACTCTTTGCCTAAGAAAGTCGATCCAACAATCATACTCACAACCGCCAGGAAAAACGACCCATTCGCTATCACTTGCACTATGTTGTATATCCGAATTACCGTTTTAAGATCGTAAGCTTTCCGTTGCTCCATATACTTAGGTCCAGCCTTCAGGACAACGTACAGGTACGCAGCGATTATCGTCACCACGGGCCATACTGTATTCACCAGTGGAAAACTCAAGCTTCTTCGATCTAAAACAGATCCATTGATTTAATCGACTCATCCGATAAAATTCACTTTGCCTACCTCTATGATCTTCCATGTACTGATGGTACTCGTTGAACATCCGATCGAGCATGAGTGCCATTGTGGACGGTTCAATCGTTCGGCATACACGGTCACTTCTCTACTGACGATCGAGTGACGGTGGATTAGAATTTATAAAACCACCACGTACCCAGTTCAATCTAGGTCAGTTCGAGTGATATTTGGAAATAGGTTCTGAACAAACTAAAATCAAGGCTAGGACCTACCAAAGTATTTCGACAGCAATCTTGACAACTGTCCACCGAAATGTAGGTAGATACTGAAGAAATTGTTCCTTACCATTCGTTTTGCTTTCCTAAAATGGTTTTCGCAAGCATTCGCGGTAAAACGATTATAACAGGATGGAATGGAAACATTGTAACGTGCCGCGCTTTCACGCACAAACCATCACCGGTTTAGGCTGTGTGTGTAATGTAGACAGCAGCATTGATCAATCGGAATATTGATTAGAAACTGCGGACGTAGCTTGGACGTAAGGATGACGCGGTGGAAAAAAAAGTAAATTTAGGTTTCATTTAGCTTTTAAGAGTGAGTATTGGAAATTATTCGAACACTCGCAGACGAGTGAGTTAAAGGTAAGATTGTATCGTGTATAACTTTACAGCAGAGATGGAGCCGGTCTGAAATAGACCAATTCGTGGTTTTTTAATGATAGCCTTACAAAGTCGAAAAGTGTGGCGCAGAGCAAGATTGCAAAGACTCATTTCAGCTAAAATAATGTTTTTCGGAATAATAAAACCAAAATATGGTATGATGGCATGTTTTACTTGTAACTTACAAGAAGAGGCTACAAAGTATGCGTTTGAAACATAAAACTTGTAAATTTTGCTTTCTATGAGTCACCATCAGCGATTTACTGATCGCTGAGTGAGTGAGTGAGTGAGTGAGTGAGTGAGTGAGTGTGTGAAAAATCGCTGATTTTGAATCTCATGAAGTGAAATAAACAGGTTTAATATGTCAAACACATTCTTTGCAACCTCTTCTTGTATCCTACCAATTCAAAATATGATCATGGCATCTAATTATTTCATAATAAAAAAACATTGTTTTAGCTGAAATGAGTATTTGCAACCTTGGCGCAGAGTATCCTGTACTGAATCTTTGATAGTCCTTCAACACACATCTGGCATATGGCCGACGTCCTTGAGTATTTCCACGTTTTCCAGGTTAATATAATCTCGGCTCACTCAAATGATCTGACAGTGCTGGTTCGTAGTCTACAAACAGACAGGGACATAGTGAGGCGAAAATGGCCCCTGCCAAGGGCGACAAGGCAAAGGGGCAAATTCAAAGAGGTTTTCGTAGCAACTTCTCCACGGCATAAATGTAATAATCGATGTGCGTAACTCCAAGGGCATTCTGCAAAGAACTCATAGGGAATTCTGAAAAATATTCATATGGGCATCTACAGTGCCGTATTATCATAGAGGTAACTCTAAGACTAGAAGGTCCCGAAATAACGTGTTCAACTTTTTGGCTCAGCTCTGGTACTCTCTTCGGTCCCAAGCTAATCGATGCACCCCTCGAAACATAGGAAAAACCAATAACCCCTCATTTTATCTGTTAAACTTTCATAGCGAATCAAAACAAACATTGCGTAGTACTAGAATTTCGACTAGAATGGGGTACGTTATTCGATTTGCTTGGGACCAATAGGCAAGTCAAGTAGTGAGCCAATTCCAAATCGTTAGTTTCGAATGTTGGTATTATGGGATGGTGAGCCCCAGCTCAGAGACATCAATCATATCCTTCTCAATAATGTGTTTCAAGGAATTAATCGTTGGTTAGTTTTGTATTTGCATCGAACAATAAAACTTTTAAAGCTTAGGGCAGTTAGACCGGTAGCGTGACCAAAATCTCTGAGCAAATTTTCTACAGCTCTACCAACCGGTCAGCACTCGGGATTTTTTTCAGTTACCATGGGGACGTAATTTGTGATTATCCCCTATCCCTTTCATATTGGCTTATTATTTATGAACGACCTATATATTTAAAAGGACGTTTCACATTCATTAGCGATGTCCGATTTTTATTCGAATAATCGATTAATCGATTAACGAATCGAAAAGTAAAATATTTGAAATAGATTATATCAGGTCGATATAAGCATTAACTTCTCCAGAGGATCATCGCGAGATCTTCTTTGGCTCTACGGTCTTCGACAAAGTAGCTCGGTAAACAAAGCACCAAATTGCTTAAGGTTTCTGTTCAGTTCCTTTTTTATACATAATTCGATTATTTGGTAGGCTCAATCACCTTAGCTTTACGGAGCCGATAAGTCATTGTTTATTGTTTGTAACAAAATTCACTCAATTCTACACGCTTAGAAAAATTGATGTAAATTTAGGTGCTCTGAGACTGACATATACGAGCGTCAATTTTGACATAAAATTGAGCTTTTCAGTCTCGGAGCACTTAATTTTACATGAAATGTTTGTTTACGTCTCATCCTTTATGTCAAAGTTGGATTCCGTCACGTGTAAGATTAGGTATTTCTAAGTGTGTACCGTATGCGTGATAATGTTTGCACCATCGTACAAATAAGGTTCCCGTTTCACCTGTGCATACAATGCCTTGGGTTTCTTTGCATGCACGTAGCCTATAGTTCATACCGTAGTAGGCTGGGTATAAAAGAAAATGATTTACTTAGTTTGACAGTTGCACCATGACGAAGTGGCAGCGTATTCGTGATTTGTCCCACGCGCAAATGTCGCAAAAAGATATTTCAATCACCGTGGGAGTGTCCCGGTGGACCGTCAAAAGGGTTTTAGACCAAGAAAAGAAAGGACAACTATCCACGAAGGTGGCCACAGGTCGTCCGAGGTCAGTTCGGGTTTCGAGGGTTATCGCTGCTATCAAAAGGAAGATTCAGGTGAATCCAGTGCGTTCAATAAGGAAAATGGCAAAGGAACATAAGAACAGTGACTTACAGGGAGCTACGAGTCGAACGATGCAAGAAAATCTTGAACTACCTTAAGCGAAAAAATCCGGTAATCCTGTTCACCGACGAGAGCATGTTTACCGTCGATCCCGTATCAAATTCCAGATCCGACCGGTATATTAGTTCTCTTCCGGTAAAAAACGTGGCCGACGAGCACAAGGACGTGTGCATCCTGCTAGCGTTATGGTGTTTGGATTGGTGGCTTCCGATGGCAAAAAAATTGACCCGATGTTCATTCCAGAAGGCAACAAGGTCAACACGGAGGTCTACATTGGGATTTTAAGTAAGTATGTTCTTCCGTGGATCAAAGAACAATACGGTCCGAAGCCAAATGTTGTATTTCAACAAGATGGGGCTCCGTGCCACACCTCGAACCGCACTCAGAAGTGGTTGCAGGAACATCTTCCGTTCTGGGCGAAGGATATGTGGCCGCCATCCAGCCCTGATCTTAATTCGCTGAATTACTAGATATGGCGCGTCATGACGGCCAAGGCCTGTTCTAAACGCCACCCGAGTACAGCAAGCCTCAGACAAACATTGACCCGTACCTGGAGAGAAATGGATCCAGACTACATTATTAGAACCTGCCGTGCATTCTGGAAGCGTGTGCAGGCCGTTATTGCAGCAATTGGAAACTCGATCGAGATTAACATAGTTTAAGACTCTGAGAAACATCCCCCCTTTGAATAAATAAAAAAAACTCGAAAACGATTTTTTTTTTAATTTTGCATTGCTCAATGGTGCAAACATTATCACGCATACGGTATGTCTAGTAGGAGTTGGGCCGAATACTCGCGGCTTACCTGAGGTTAGAGGCGTACATTGTCGAAGTATAGGATAAGGGGAGGAGCATGGCGGTGGGGTTTCGTTGTCTCATCAGAACGTTGTCGCCAGTATGAACGGTAGTGCGGTTTTACCTTCTAGATATGGTGACCAGTAGGCGACGATGATACTCAGCTAGACGTGGGGACAAGCAAAAAAAAATTCAAAAAGACAAAGGAATAAAATGATTACACTAGACATTTGCAGAAACACATAAATCGACTGCATCGATGACTGATGTCATCGTAACCGTTTCCACACCGACAGATGTTTCTGTCCAACGGCGCCGGTGGTGTAGTGGTAAGCGTGATTACCTCTCACCCCAACAGGCCTGGGTTCAATCCCAGTCGTCGGTCTGGCACGTCGGTAGCATTGGTGCTCAGTACGGAAAACAAGATCGACGGAAAAAACAAACCAAAGGAAAAAAAAAATATGTTTCTGTCCATGAGGTTTATTCTATGGAGATGCGCATCTAACGCTAACGAGTAGTGGTTGGACATAAGTCTACTCATCAAGAAAATGAAGGCACGACTTAAGCCGAAGTCTTTAAACCACGCTCTCGAAGAAACATTAGGAATAATTGAATGTAATCACCGTTCAAGATTTCCAGTGTCCCAATCGGTTTGCCGACTTGAAAGGGTACTCTGACGCACTAATTGATAAAATTCATCGTGTAAAATTTGCATGTCATACAATTCGCTTTCCTGCGCGCCCACCTTTACGAGAGAAACCACAACGTTTGAATAATTCATGTAAATTTCTGCGAGATATAGCGCACATAAAATTAACGCTAGATTTGGCGTAAATTTACACGATATTTCGTGTAAATTTAAATGTAATATCGCGTAAATTATCAATATTTTATGTAAGCTTATAAACGATTTCGCTGCTCGCCAAGTTTAGCTCAAAATTAATTGAAAGGAGATTTTACGCGATAGTTAAAATTCTGAATTTTTTCTTGTCCACCTTTGCGAGAGAGTCCACCTTTCATTGTCTGGTATTGGGCAATGGGAAGGGACCCATATAAAGGTAATCATATATAATCTTTCGACCAGCACACTCATCTGCTCCCTAACCTTTGAAAGGAAATAAGATGAGTCCCTACACTGTACACAAACACCATCCTTTGATCGAAAAAAAAAACATCAGACCATTCAAAACGAAACATCGAAATAGCATTTTCGAATGATAGCGGCAACCGGATGACAGTTGCTTTGAAATCAGATGATTTTCCTCTCGACTACAGGATGCAAATTGTTATGAGAAGGGATAGGACGTTCAAATGCGTAATGCTCTCTGCAGAATGATTGTCATACTAAATGGAAATGCATATGGTTTTGGTTCAGCCCCATAACGCAAATCATTCAATACGATGATGTACCTAAATAATTCTATCGAACATCATTTGCTGATCTGAGCTGATAGTGGAAGCATAGCCATCGCTATCAGAGCTGTTACGAACATAGGTAAAGCGTGAAAACCAATATTT